TATACTTTAAATAATAAAACTAATTTTCTTGAATTTTTTTTTCTTTTATTCTAAATATTCTGTTTTCAAAAAATAATTTAAATATCACAAACTTCTCTTTCTTGATCTACTTATTATATATAATAATTTATATTTATTATATTAGCAACACATTTCTTTTAAATTAAACAAACTTTCTAAAAGTATTATATCTTAATAGTTTACTATTCTTAAGAATATTATTACTAGTTATTCTTATCAATATACTTTATATGATTACTTCAACCTACCTTAAACAAATTACTTTTCTTATACTACTAGTTATTTTACTTCTAGTACTAAACCTTGGCTACTTACTATTCTTAATAATTAAATAATTATTAGTAAAGTCAAAAGGCATAATAGCCCTACAAATCTTACTCTTATCACCTAGTAATATTACTTATTTCAGGTTCAGTTTTCTAATCTTTATCACACTTTCCCTTCTACTACTACAATATGCTCTAGATGTCATCTTAATTCTAATTTAATTGCCAACAAATGCACTATTTTTATCTTTACAAACTTGGCTACCAAACTACATTGTTTTATTAATTTTGATAAAACTCTCAATCTATATGCCAACTTTTATAATATTACATACTTTGTTGCTATACAATACCCTTTATATATATCATCTCTTCTTTTATTAATAATCAACTTATAACAACTCCTTGTATCTTTTAACTAGGTCAACTTACTGATAGTTTATAGGCCATTGCTAATTTTAATCACAACTTATCTACTATTTTATTCTACACTAATAGTTCTGTTATTAACCTTAGTACTTTTCAATATTTTATGAGTATAGATTGGGTTTAAATAGATAACTCTGTAACTTTTTATTTATTTCAAGCACAAGTTAAACTTCAGTCATGCTTTTTTAAAACTAAAATTCTTGCTATTCTCTTAGCAATTATTACTACTTCTAGAAACTGCTCTGTTTACATATTTACTAACTTATTATCAATAATTTCTAAATACCATAGTATTTGTCTGGCATACTCTTATCAACTTTATTAAGTTATATAATATTCAACTTACTTTTTATAAAGTTACTGTATACCAAGATAACCCATTTAATAATCTTGTTAACCAACTTGCATGCAACTACCAAATACTATACTTTTTAATATTTTTAACTAATAATCCTTATAACCTTGCTTATACTTCATTTATCAATCAACTTCTTATTAAAATCTCTATTCAATACTCTATTTGTACTATTTGTCAAGCTTATATTATAACATTTTCAATATCTTAATATTACTTTCAAAAATGGTTTACTATAGCATTTAATATCAACTGAGAAGCTACTTGACTTTATATTAATAGCAATCAAAAAATTTCTAACTTTGCTTATAACTTTTATTTTTTTAGTCTTAAAACTTTCGTGTTAAAATTCTTTTAGATAAACTATCTGTTTTCTATACTCTTTATAAATATAACTCTTCATACTCTTCTTCTTGTTATCAATATAATTAAACTAGTTTTTTATTATACTGGTTATCTGCTCTTCTACTCAAACTATTTATTACCTAGTCTCTAATTCTCTTAATTGCATCTTAAATATAACTGCTCTCAATATATCCATTAATTTGTTCTAACTTGTATAAAAAATTTTTTATGCTTAATAGTTTTAAACTGCACAACTTTTTACATATATTATCTCTTACTTCTACTTTATCTAGTCTAGTTTCTATTGATCTCATTTCTATTATTTATAATACTTCTATTTCTTATTGTACTACTTTTTTTCTTTATTAAACTGCTTTTTCATTTAAATTAACAAATATACAAACAAATATGGATTTCATACTGTATTTCACATTTTGCATAGTTTCAAATTATACCTTTCACTAATTTAATTCATAGTTCCTTTTCTAATTTACTTTTATCTTCTATTTTAATATTACAAATTATTACTAAAATTAATCTTTAAATTATCCAATAAATTAAATATCATATTCCTCTCTCTTATATTATTACTAATTTCCAAATTTAGATTAGTCTTGGCTACTCTTGTAGGTTTATATTACAGATTATATGTCTAAGTCTTTATTTTTTATATTTAATTTAAAAACAAGTTTTTTTTTATAAAAACTTCAATTGAATTTCAATAAAGTTAAAGACATGACCTCATTAATATTTAAAAAAAAACAAATAATATAATTATCAGATGAAATAATATTTTATTAAATTAGCCTAAATGATCTATATATTAGTTCTTTAATTTTTTATATAATAATTCATTATTTTATATTTTATTTTATTTATTTCAATCTTTATGATTAAATTTTTTATTATTTAATTTATTTAAATATCTCTTAATATTAATTATATTTAATTTTTTTTTTTAAGACTGTACTTTATAACAGTTTTTATTAATATATTGAAGTTAATTTTATATTATTTTTATAGAGAAAAAGTTACAACTAATTACATATACAACTTTTAATTATTTATTTAAGTAGTCTGTTTTAGGATTTTATATTAGATATTATATCTATAATTTACTAGAAGATTATTTATTTAAATCCTCTAATCATCTGCCTATTAACCATAAACTATCACCAACCCCTTATATATACTTAACTAATATACTATATAAGCAATACTATATTTTTCTTTACTAAACTAGTTTCTAAACTGTTATACATTTTAGAACATGATATTTGTTACTAAGCCTTAGAAAACCTCTTTTATTAACTGTTTACTTACTTTACAAACTATTAATAAAAGCTTACCTTTGTAGAGTTTACTCATATCTTAGTACTTATTTCATATTATGTTCTTAGTACTTTTAGTATACTTTTGGTTTGTTCTTGGACTTTCAATTCTAATAATTTAAAAGAACTGTAATTTGTTCTTGGTACATTAAGTCTGACCTGATATTCTTTTTTTTTAGTTCAATCTGACAACTTGGTTAATGATACTCCTCACTTAAAAGTCTTGTTTATCTAATTTTTCTACATCAATATTCATTTCTAAGTCTAACTTTTATAATAATACTGTTAAAAATCTATATTATTTCTCTATTTAGATTTTTTCAATTGAACTCTAATTTTTCCTAGTTTTATAGATTTATATAATTATAAAAACTTACTTTAAGTTTATACTAACCAGTACCAGTTTGCATCCTTCTGTATAACTAAGATTACACAAATACCTTATAACCTACTAGTCATGCAAGTGCAACTATAGTTACAGGTATCATATTCCAACTAATCAACAGAATACTGTCACTATAATACTATCTATATATTACATAGGTGATTATCCAAATTTTCACTATCAGTAGGTTTTGAACTCACAACCTACCACTTGAAAGGTTAACAACTTATTCCATTTACTAAGTCATCACATCCCCATATTTAATTTTCATTTTATGCTTTATATGCATAAGTTATAATAAATTAACCATCATTTTGTTAACCAAATCTTGTGCAAAAAAAAGTATTAAAATAATGATTTAGAGAACTGAAAGATTTAGACTGTATGATATTTTTTAAATGCATTAATAGATTTTTTTTAACAAAATTAAAACATATATGTAACAGATATTGATTTCTTTTTTTTTTGTTATTATAAATGTAATAATAGATTTATGTAGATACAACATATAATACGATATGTAGAACAAAATTATGAATATTTAAATGTCTCCTCAATAGAATAAGAGAACGTGGTACTGTATTATGATACATTCAAGTTTATTAGATATACTGTAGAATTGAATATAGAAATAATTAAAGTTTTAAAGTTTTTAAATAAGAATGGTCATAACTTAATATTGAATATAGTTTAAAATGTTCTAAATAAATAAATATATGATTTTCTAAATGTAATAATAGTCAGCAATATTTACTTTGAATTTTAAATATTAATTATAAATTAAATTTCATTGGTTTTGTTCGTTTCGTTTCTTAATTTTTTTTACGATTTTGATCGGCTGGTTAACTTGTGACAATCATCCAACATTCGTATAACCATTTTCCCGGTGTGCAACATATAAAAAAATTATTTTACAATACCAGATCATCCCGCTAGACATGTTATGATTATAATAAAATGGTTTGGATTATGGATTATAAGCATGACATTTACTAGCGGAATGATCTGGTATTGTAAAATAATTTTTTTATATGTTGCACACCGGGTGAAAGATCAACCGTGTAACATCGACGGTTACTCCTGTTGTATTTGAGACGGTCTTGCCTGTATTATTATTGATAAAGCAGATACGATAGATGGTTACCATCACTAGTTTCAGCATATATATTAATATAAGCAATATAATGGTTGAAGTTTATAAATTTACACTCTTTTCCATAGTAAATGCTTCTGTAAAATATTAATTCACTATTTTATTATCAGGTTTCCGTATCTCCTCTGACGTCAGCAATTAGAGTTAAATTTGGCATAATTGCCGGAAACTTTTCCTTACGATGGTTATAGTGCAATAAAATCATGTGCGCATTAATTTAATTTAATTTTTTTTTTATTGAGAAAAGCAAAAATACTCGAAAAATAATGTTTAAATAAACCTTGGTTCACTAATTCAAAATGAACAAATTTTACATGTAATAAGTGCTAATCTATAGTTATAATTTTTTAATGTAAAGTTATAACCCAGCCTTCTATCTCAACGTACTTAGCCTACGTATTTAGAATTAAATAACTTTTTTGGTTTGTGTTACTAAAGAAAATAAGCAAATCTCCTAATAAAGCTCTATTGGCTACCTGCATTGCATAAAAAACTTCTAAAGATGGACATAGGTAATAATTAATAATCATTATGTAAACATTATTTTTACGTAACTAAATGCATTTAATTATGATAATCATTGGCTCTAATTGTATTAATAAAAGTTTATGGCTTTTTTTTACAGTACATAAACAAGTTTAAAAGCTTTAAAACCTGATATTTATTTATCCGAATGTTTTCTTAAAAATCAATTTCACGCTTGTTTAATAATAAAATGTCTAATATCGATAAAGAAAAAAAACATTATAACAGAATAAACATTTTTGATCGATATAAAAATTATGATGAATTAGACATAAATGAAGTATCTTCGATACTATTGGACCAGTATAAAATAATTGGTGGGAGGAAATTCTTAAATACTAATGAAGCGAATTACGTTATGCCATCAGATGACATTGATTTTAGACGAATGGAGGTCGCCCATGTGTTAAACAGATATTCGTGGAAAGGTAATTTTAATGCACCAGTTGAGGAAACGCTAAGAAATGGTAAAGCTACTGTTCTCGACGCTGGGTGCGTAAAGCCACAAACTCAAAGTTCTTCATTGCGAACATCCTTGAATAGCAGATTAGTAATATTTCGTTTTTACTTAATAGGTGTGGTGCGGGATATTGGATTCTTGATTTAGGAAACGAGTTTCCAAATTCAACATTTGTCGGCATAGACGTTCAATCAAATGGATTTCCGCCAGTAAACGAACGCCCACCTAATACAGGATTTCTAGAGCATAACTTAATAACTGGAATTCCATTTCCTGATGAAACGTTTGATTACGTCCATATGCAATTGATGTGGGCGGCGTTTACTAAGCAACAATACATAAATATAATTCATGAATTAATACGTGTAACGAAATGCAATGGATGGATTGAAATTCTTGAACCTAATTTAGATATGAAAAACTTAGGAAATTCTATGAATGCCATTAACAATGCTTGTAAGTTATATGAATATAATGGAATTATAATTTACTTATTTCAAAGAATTAATTATATTATATTATAGTTCATGCAAAGTTAAAGGAAAATGAATTTGATCCCATGATATTTTTAGAGATCTCTAAATGTTTTAAATCGATCAATGAATTGACTAATATTGAACACAAACAAATGAATATGTCATTGGGTGGATGGGCAGGAAGATATTATGAATATGTAAGCTCTAGCATTTACATTATATATTTTTAAAAATGATCTTGCGTTTCCTAATCAACTTATCCTTAGACATTAGATGCTGTTAAACAATCCTATAAATCTATTACTTATCTGGCAGATTATATGGGAATATCTCAAAATGATTATCAAAAATTAATAGACGATTTCGATAGACAATGTAATCAAAATCATTCATACACAGAACTACATAGGTTTTTTGCTAAAAAAGTTAAAAAATAGTGTTGTTGAAACAAGCAAACTTTTAGTGGCATACCACTAACATGTCATTAAATCATTATACTTGTTAATTCTTATCATGTCAGTGGCATACCACCAAAAATTTTGCTTGCACCAACAATCCTACTAAAAAATGGTTTAATGAAATAGTTTATATCTTGCAGCAAAGTTGTTAGAAAAATAAAAGATTTTCTCTTAAAATATAATTTTGATTTCACATGATTTGAGTATAGCCTGGATCCGGTTATCCATTAGATTTAATATGAAAGCGGATGACCGGAACCAAGTTCTATATTTGAGAAACCTCGTTTTTGGAAAGTTTTCTACTGTCAAACTTCTCCATAATCACCCCTTGGTTTTAAGAATTTGGTGCTTACAGAAAGTTTGTGCTGTATATATGTTATATAAGTTGATTTTAAAAATTTATATGATTCTAGGCAAATATGACTATAGAGAAGGTGACTATAGAGAGGTTTGATTGTACTAATTTGACTGATTTTATGTAATTAAATTTTTATGCGTTTAAACAATAAGTAATAAATATTCCACGGTCATATGCCCGTAACATTTCTGATTAAAATTTTTTACTGATGATGTCATGCCTGTGTAATAAATTTGATATTTTCACGACATAACATAATATAAAAATATCATTAGAAATGTTCATGGGCGAACATATAGGGCCGTGGAATATAATAAGATAAAGCATTTAGAACCAATAGGATTGTGCGACTGTTTTATTGACTTGTTTATCTGTTTTTCATTTAATCGGAGCATGTATGATATGCGTCTAAAAGGATAATTTTGACTGAGACTAGAATCATTAAATACTATTAAATCATTTCTCATAAGGAACGGGTCAGACTGAACTTCCATTCACTATTTGTGTAGAATCAATTACAAAATCTTAAAAATGTTATACAAAAGGTATCAAATCGGTAGTGAAAATGTTTGCACTTAATTAATACACATAACACTATCTTTAATAATTTTTTAACCTCTATAAAAGTCTAAACATGCTTGGACATGGATATGAAAGACACCAAAAAAGCCTTTAATAATGGGATAATTCACCAAGATCTTGCATAATACTCATAAACTCGTTTCATTGCGTCCCAGTATCTTAAATTTTTATAGGGATCACAAAATTTCCGGGTCGGATCTGTCGGATTTAGGCCGGCATTTAGCAATATAAGCCTGGACCAAAATTATTAGGTTGGCAGCTGTACGGGCGGATTTTATCGATTTTGGTGATTATTAAAAATAAATGATGCCAGGGACCCGGGTTACCATAAGTAAACTTGTTAGCACGTGGTATGGAGGGACTAGGGAACACCATTGGTGATGTACGTAGTAACAATATATGTAAACTTACAGGAACCAAATAAAATAATACCTTAATAAAAAAGAGCGTCACCTGCGCCCCTAGTTGCAAGGACAACAGGGATATTCAAAAAAATAAATAAATAAATAAATGATGATAATTGAAATGCCGTGAACGAAGTCACGAGGCAGTCATTTGTCACGAGATCACATTACCCACCTATGACGATAGGGTTTGGTAAGTAACCGTGAGTAAAAGAGTTTAATCGGGTGATTGATTAAATGATGAGGTCATTATTGGTAATAAGAGAAGGTAGTTTAATTGAGTAATGGTAAGTATGAGGTCATAGAGAATGGCTATTTAAGTGAAGTATGAATGGAAAATTGTTCTTCCTCTTTTGTTTTCGTTGCTAGCTCGACGCAAGTCTAGCTTTGTCGTTGAGCCCGCCCACCCACCACTATGACTGGGAATGATATGATTAAGTAAATAGTATAAGTAAATAGAATTTGAGCAGGAAGTAAAAAAAAAAAAAAAAAAAACAAACAACAAAGAGAGAAAGGAAGTCGATACTATAGTAACGGCTGTTGACCACGTGAGCAGCAGAGCAAAATCCCGTTATGTGTATTTCATGTGTATTGTGTTATATTAGAGGTAGTGATCGAGTGACAAATCATAAAGTTTGAACCAATCATTTAAGCGACGTTGAGAAATTTCCAGTATTAGACATTAAAAATATAATAAAATTGAAATGTATGAATTATATGATTAGCTGATTGTCTTCTGAGTTATAAATTGCTTATGAAACCACATGAGTAAATTAAACTTTTCATTTGTATTTGATTAGTTAATTGTATACTTAGTGACGCTACAAAATATATATTTATTATTCGGAGTGGTTATGAATTCGATTGTATCGCTTAAATTTTCGCCCAATGCTCTACTTAATAAGTGGGCCATGACTTTATTAGTAAAACTTTTAGTGATCTTGGGCAAAATTGGTTAATCCGGCCCAGCCGATCATGACCTCTTTATGAGTTAGCAATATATTTTCGCGAGTAATACAAACTCCTAAAAAGGAATATGAAAGAACGGGGAAAGCGTAACAAATTTAAGTTTGAACTTAGACCGCAAAGCGCACATGCTTTGTAGTGTACTAATAGGATGTGTGCGCATACTGCATATCTTATATGTTTTGCACGCGCACACCTGCATATTACACATGCGCACATTGAATTTTTGCAAAACAGAGGATACTTGAAAATAATATTTAAATCGATCTTGTTACACTAAGTAAAAATGTCATGAACGGAATTTTACATATAAGTGATATTTTATTGCTATAGCTTCTAATATTAATGTTTCAATACTATCTTCAAATGTAACGTATTTAGTTCGGTTAAAATCCAAATTTCCTATTTTGTTTGCGTTACTAACAAAATATCCCTGGTATAGCTCTATTGGCTACCTGCATTGCATAGAAAATTTCTAAAGAGAACATGGGTAAATTCATAGGCAGAAGTTTGTCTGATTGGCTAATGAATTCAATTTAATTTTACATTATTTATACAGTTTAGAGTACTTTT